TTGAAAGAGAACGGGTAAATTTGAATTTTATGTATTCTAAAGGGGGATCACAAAACAATGGGAAAGGTGAAGATTATTAAAGAGGGAGTGTCTTAGCTATCTATTGCTTCCGTAACCAAAAAAATAGCACAAGTAGGTGGCTTTCAAGAACAGAATTTATTGTCTCACAGTTTTGGAGGTTAGAAGTCCAAATCAGAGTAGTGACTCTAGGGGAGGGTCCTTCCTTGTCAGTAGCCCCATGAGTTCCTTTGTATTCCTTGGCCTCTATCTTTCCCCTGTGTGTCTCTGTATCTATTCTGTTCTTTTTATAACTCAGAAAGTGATTAGGTTTAGGATCCACCCTACTCTGGGATGACCTCATTAACATACAAAAAGAAAAACCTATTTACAAACAGGATCACATCCACAGAAACAGGGGCCAGGACTTCAACACACATTTTGAGGAGGACACAATATTCCAGTATAATTGGAAGCATTTAGACAATTTGGCTTAACCAAAATTAAGAACTTAGAAAAAATAAATGTTGATGCAAAAATACACCAAATAAGATAACATATGTAAGGAAGCATTAAGTATATAAGTTTAAACGGAAATGTGAGCAATCAGTTGGATATGGATCAGATATGTGAAAAAGAAGCCAAATTTTTCAGCTTGGGAACAACAAGGAAGAGATGAAAAAGATGAAGATCGATATATTTTGTTATATACATTTCGTAAAAATAGTAAAATGAAATAAATCATTTTGATAAAGAGTTTCTATTAAAAGAAAAGATATATAATCACGTAGCCTTAATTATATTGTTATCTTAATTTTATCTTCATTCTCATTAAGGTTTCAGTTTATGAACTATTAGTTAAGAACAAATAGTAGACAAGATGTGGAAAAATGGTAAACCTCGCAATTAATCAAAGAAATGAAAAATAAAGAGCTATATTTTTCATTTATTCAATTAGCAAAATTTTAAATGACAGTGCACCTATATGCCTTGCTACCACCATTATAAGGTGAAGCAATTCTTTTTGAATTGTTTGAAAATAGCTTCATAATGTGCTCTAAAGCACCAGAACACACATGTTATTTAAGCCAGTTAGTCAATTCCTGGAAGAGTAATTCAAAATAATAAAAGTCTGTGTGTAAGAAGATATTCATCACATTTATAATATTAAAAAAAATTAAGAGTAATCTCAAAGTAAGTGAATGGTCGGTGGGATAGTATGCAGCCATTAATAATAAAGTTTATGAAGATTTTGTAGCAGCTTGGAAAACATTTGTGCTGTTAAATAAGGTGAAAAGTATATATAGTTTTATATGACTGCAAAGATATAAATACACGAACAGAAATGGAAAACAACTAAAGTATATACTACATAATATATTAATTTATATAGTATAATTATTCATATATTATTTGAATGTATTAATTTTATATTAATATACAAAGATATTACATATTATATAAAGATATTATTTTCCTGTTTCCAATTTTTCTGTAATGTTGCATAGTTTCTAAACACCATGCACCTTCCCCCCCAACACTCATTTTGGAGATGTTGGCCTGCATGGGCTGAAAACACAAAATTATCTCTCTGAATTTCACAGCACCCCCAATCTTTTTAACATTGTAAGAAAAAAATTTAAATAGTTGCCATTGAGTTGATCCCAACTCATGGAGACTCATGTGTGTCAGAGTAGAGCTGTGTTCTATAAGGTTTTCAATAACTGAATTTTCAGATGTAGATTGCCAGACTTTTCTTCTGTGGCACCTCTGGTTGGCCTCAAACTTCCAACCTTTTGGTTAGCAGCTGAACACTTAACTGTTTGCCACTCAGGGACTCTTTTAATAATCAGATATTGTGAATAAATGGATATTTACTCTACTTAACTCAAAAACATTGGAATATCAGTTGTGAAAGAATGTCAAAGGCCCATAGCTCCAGCTTCATCTATTCATTTTTTAAAATGATTCAATATGTGTGAAAGAACAGAACCTCTTAGGTTATTCAGGAATTCTAAAACATCCCTCAAAGAGTTTTTGTTGTTGTTTGTTTGGGGTTCTTTTTGTTTTTCTTTTTAGTGAAACCTTATCTGCAAAGAAAAAAAATGGTACCATCCACAATTATACAATATTATTTCAAAATGCCTTCCAGTGGTTAATATTATTAAAGATACTCCATGTTTATTTCATAATGAGTCATCCTCAAAATATCACTCTTCAGAATTATATTACCACTTTATCAAAATTCAACAGTTAGATGAACGAAAGAACACTGTTTCTTATCTTAGAGTTTCATGTTCAACATGCAGCTGTATAAACCACAGGGATTCTCATTGAAAAATGCTCCAGCAGTTTTTCTGCAGATGGCAAAATATAAACGCTTTGTTACCAACACATAAATATACGCTATGACTTCATGACAGAGAATGATGTCGAGTGGGAGGCAGGGAGATGCTTCAACATAAAAACAATGTAGAAACACGTGCTTGTAAGAAGCCGTTGAATGGGTATCCCGCTGTAACTTTCTATTTTACAGGGAGGCTGTAGGGTTATATTTCTTGGATTGGGTGAGGTTTATTATAAACCTCTTTGTCTCAGTTCTCCTACGCATAATGAAGCAAAGGAGTAGGTGTGATGCAGAAGGCATGAGTGTTTCAACTCCATAGGAGTAGTTCACCTTGTTATAGAAAACAGAGCTTGCAGTAGCCGGGCTTCCCTGGGTCAGGGAGGCATCCTGAAGGAGCAGTGGAGAAGCTGTACACATGGTTGCTGTGTTCTTTACAGGGCTGTGTCCTCTGCCGGGAGCCTGCTCAACGCACTGGAGACTTGCAAAGCTTAAGACCCAGTTAGTTGTCATCGAGTCAATTCTGACTCGTGTGCAGAGTAGAACTGCTCCATAAGATTTTCAAGGCTGTGGCCATTCTGAAGCCTTCACTCACCAGAGCAGTGCTGAGGGACGGCCCACCCAGTTCTGCGGCTCCATCTTCCTCTTGGCTGGGGTTACTCAATTTGACTTCTTCACATCCTCTGAGTACAGGGAGAGCAGTCAGCTGCCCAGAGCATGGAGCTCCTGGTCAAGAGAGGTGAGCGTATGGAATCCAGGAGCAAACACAATTGTATCGGCATGTAGATCGCGACTCTGAGTTTGTGTGTGCATGTTTATCAGAAGACTATCATAATTTTATTGTAAGCGCACAGTTCAGAAGATGTTTAGAAGTAAGTTTTTTAAAATGTTCCTTGCTTTTTCTTTTTGTTTTTCTTTTTTCTTCCATTCCAATCTTTAAAGTCTGGCCGTTTATTTGCATTATTACGACCCTAGCTTTGTGAATGGAGCCCCTTGGTGGTTACAATGGTTAAGGCATTTGGCTGCTAACTGAAAGATTGTAGGTTCAAGTCCACCCAGCAGTGCCTCAGAAGAAAGGCCTGGTGATCTACTCTCAAAAAATCAGCCTTGAAAACAATATGGAGCACAGTTCTGCTCTGACACACATTGGATGGGTGGACAGCAGTGGGGAGAGGGAGTCGAATCGACTCAACAGCAACTGGTTTTTTTTAGCCTTGTGATTGAAGCTACATTCACAGTAAACAATTAAGGCATGTCAGTTCTCAAGTAGAACAAAAATCTTAATGATTCTTCAGCTATTGGGGAATCCTCAGCACCCGGGCTGTGCTGAGGGGTTTCTGAGGCATTGCAGAATTATTTGGCTTTTGAAATCATGGATAAATTTCACCCCACAGAGTACTTCTTACCCAACCCTGGAGGTGGGATTGAGATCACTGTAGAATAGATATCTACACATAGTCGTATTAGAGTGTATTATGTGTGCTTTAAATACACCTCAATGTATATTATGGAAAAAATTAAGAAAATTCCCCAATTAAGATTTAGAAGATTGAACTCATTATCTCCCTTCCCAAATCTGCTTGCTTATTTCTGTAATGGCACCACTGCCCTCCCAGTCACGGAGGCCTGATACCTCGATGCCTTCTTTCACCTTCCACCTCTTTCTCCACATGTCCAGTCATCACCTAAGCATTTGTTGCTTAAGGTCTCTCGTGCTTTTTTTTTTCCCTCACTGCCACGTTGTTATTGTTATTAGCTACTGTGGAGTTGGCCCCTGACTCGTGACAACGCCCTACACAACAGGGTCCTGAAACACTGCCCAGTCCTGAGCCATCCCCCTGGTCAGTTGCAGATCAGACCATTATGGGTCCACAGGGTTTTCACGGGCTAATTTTTGGAAGTAGATAGCCAGGCCTTCCTTCCTGGTCTGTCTTAGTCTGGAAGCCCCCCCCTGAAACCTGTGTAGCATCATAGCAACACGAAAGCCTCCCCTGACAGAAGGGTGGTGGCTGCACATGAGGTGCATTGGCCAGGAATTGAACCCAGGTCTCCCATGTGGAAGGTGAGAATTCTACCCCTGGAATGCCAGTGCCTCCATGGAGGACCTAATAACCCCTCACGTATGCTGTCACATCATCTCACCTTTTCTTCAGTCCATCTCAGTCCACATTGCTGAGAGTCATCTTCCCAAAGAGCAGCACCAGGCTTGTCACCGTCCTATTCAAACGTCCCTGGTAACCCTGAATCACACATTCCTTATGTCACTTTCAAAGCCCACCATGATGGTGATACGACCAGACGCCTCAGTATCTTTTCTCGTTCTCCTCTTCATATATATTTTGCTTGAACAAAAGTGCTCTCCTGCTGATGAGCTTTTTCTCAAGTTTGAATTGCCTCTTAGCCCCATCTCTAGCGGCCTCTTCAGCATTGCATCATATTCCCAAGAAACTCTCTCCAAGCCACCAATTCTAAACATTCTGGCTCATGGCACATCATATAGCCCTCACCTTTTCATACATACACATCATTGACCTGATAAAACTAAGCTTTTTGCAGGCAAAAATCCTGTCCCCTCCCAAAGAACGTAGCCCAGTGGCTTACAACAGTAGACACTCAACATTTGCTACCTGACTGATGCTGTTGTCATTTTCTTTTTCAGTAGCGCCACCACCCTATAGCTGTGATCATGAGCTGGAATACTCCGCAGACTTGCCTCCACCCTACTCTCCAACACCACAGGCTTCAGCACAGCGCTCACCGCCTCCTCCTTATCCTGGAAATTCAAGGAAATAATCCAACTCCCAGAGCAGAATACATGGCCATTGGTGGTCTTGCCCAGAACAGAAATGCCTCTACTTAGAAACAGGTGGGAGAGGATTGCTCTACGGAATTCTTTTTTGGGGTCAGACAGTATTTCAGGTGGAAGGTCCAGACTAGGAGATAAAGGTTTTCTACCCTGCTCAGTTTGAGTCCAGTTGTTTGTGTCCCACTGACTCAAACATACCAAGGATCATGAAGATGGCTCAGGACCGGGCAGTGTTTCATCGTTATACATGGGGTCACCGTGAGTCGGAGCCGACCTGACGGCAGCTACTACCACCACCCCCTGCTCAGACCTGACCCCATCTGTAGGTACCAACTTTTAGGAGATTTGCTGGTCAGTGTCATTCAGAGAAGAGTAATGAGAGTGACAGCACGTCTGAAAATCATGTTGTTTGAGGAATAGATGGCAACAGCAACACCGATCCTGGAAAAGAGAAGATACATGTAGGACAGGAAAATGGCTCCACTTACACAAACAGCTTCATCTGTGTAGCTTTAAAAGTTAGAACGAGAAAAGACCAGTCTTTCATTCATTGATAAATGCGTATTGAATGCTTGAGAGCCTACTGTGTACTATCCCCTGTTTGAGACACTGGATGGAAGTTACAGGGAGGGCATTTGGTTCAGTATAAGAAAGAGTGTTTTAACAATTGGGTCTTCCCTATTGACTGGTTACTTTGTGAAGCTCCCTGTTACCAAGACTTTTAACAGAGAACCTAGTGACCATCTGGTAGAAAAATGCACCAGAAGGGACGCCTAAGTCCAATGTCATTGGAACCCAAAAGTTCTGTTCATGTTTTAGGCGAATATGGGGTGAATTTCTTTGCTTCCAAAAATGAAAACACAGGTATAGTTGAATCTTATCCATTTAATTTGAGAGTTAACATAGGATCAAAAGGGCTCAACAGCTACTTAAAGCCAGGAACAGGTCAGTGCTGGCTACTACCATGTGAAAACCATCCAGCTTTATTTAGAGGATGACAAAGGTTATTCCAACTGTGACCAAAAAAAAAGTATCAAGTCCCACAAGCAACAAATACTGCAGTATCAAAGCAAAAGATAAGAAGCCAAACATTGCCACTGGATTTCACATCAGAGAGTAAAGTCTCAGAACTTTACCATGAAGATATGCCCTGGGCTTACAAAAAAAGTAAAAGGGAAGAAGGAAGTTGGGAACCCCTTCTGTGGAGTTCCACTCAAATGTAATTTAGACACATTTTTATTTCTCTCCTGCAAAATTTTGATAATCTAGTCCCTTGGAAAAGTTGCATAGTTAATGGCAAGGTTAAGATACTGATATCAAAAACTTACCTTTTACTAAAATATAAGTTTGATGAAGTGCCTACCTTTGGGTCTAAAAGCTTTAATAAACAAATCAAATGTGCCATAGTTTGCTGCAAGTGACCTTAAAATTTACATTTTTATTTGGGTCCTTTTGTGTATTTAAAAATTTTACACTGAGCAGATGTTGAGCATAGATAATGGGATTTTTGTGTCATTTTACAACTAAATCTAAAAAGCTTTCAGCAATTTCATCACCATAATTCAACGCAACTCCCCCAATGATGCTAAGAAATTTTATAGACTGAAACAATCAAAAGAAATGTCTTCAGGTATAAATTATAGTTCCCATCTCTTTAGTTAGAAATTTAGTAGCTAATATAAGTAACATATTTTATTTTCAAATCGCTACGCTTCAAAATACATTGATGTGACTGAAATACAGTCTGAGTGCCGGTGAGATCTGAAGGTTTCATTTGTTTTGAATGACTTGTTTGATTTCTAGGCACTGATAATTTTCTTAAATATGAAGATGCAAATCATTCAAGGGTTCCGGCCTAGTCTATTGAAGGGCCCCCTAACTTGCATGAGAACTTTAGCACAGTTTTAACAGGGACATATGCTCCAAATTTATTTCTCTTCTGCACATGTGCTCAGACCCAGTTACACTGAAGCTATACAATTTAAAGTGCCAGGGTCCCCTTGAATTTCAGAACATTGGTTCCAAATGCACCGCATATTCCTTAAGAAAAATGGAGAGGAAAGTACCAGTGGAAATTGAACTCTCATCCTCTTCGCCGTCAATAACGGTTTCTTGTGTACCTCCTACATTCTGCAAACGTTTCCCACCTAGGAGCCGTTTCAATCCACTCCATCTCTCTTCTTTGAATTGTTTATGGCCTCCCTTAAGGCATATCACAAATCCATAGACCTACAATAGATGAATATTTTTACTATGTGTGTTTAATTTCACAATAACATGAATGTGCACATTATCAGTATATACTTTTGGAGTTCACTGATTGTTTTCATGGATGATGCTTCTCGGGGGGAAATAGTATATGATGTGAAAGCTTTGGATTACAGTTATTTAAAAAAGTATGTATTCACTGTGGCCAAAGTGTTTACAGCAAGCAATAAAATGAAAGAGCCCGTTGTAACAAGGGTTATATTTTAATTGTCTCGTGTTCATTTTTCACTCACCCTCCATTCCTGCGGATTTAGCCTCACTCTTTTGTACAGGAGGAGTCCCTGGGTGTTGTAAACAGTGAAGCCCTCAACTACTAACCAAAAGGTTGGTGGTTTGAATACACCCAGAGGCACCTCAGAAGAAAGACCTGGTGATCTACTTCCAAAAAAATCAGCATTGAAAACCCTATGGAGCACAGTTCTACTCTGACGCACATGGGCCTGACACGAGTCGGAATCCACTCAGCGGCAACCAGTTTGTTTGTTTCTGTACAGGAAACACGGCACTGGAACCAGATCAACTTTGTTTTGAACCCTGGCTCTTCTCGCCTTTGTGGTGTGAGACAGGCCACTTAATCTGTCTGAGATTCAGCTTCCTGCTCTGGAAAACGTGAATAATAGAATCAGCCTTATCAAGTTTTGTGAAAATTGGGTGAATATACATGAAAATCCAAGTAAAGTGCCTGCCATATAGACAATGTTCTAGAAATATTAGCCAAAAATAAATTAACAAAAAGAACAATAACAGCCTCGAGAGCTGTGCTATCCCACACAACAGTCACCACCTATCTAATTAAATTCGAGAGCCCTGGTGGCAAAGTGGTTAAGTGTTTGGCTGCCACCCAAAAGGTGGGCAGTTCAAATCCACCAGCTGCTCCTTGGAAACCCTGTGGGGCAGATGGAATTATATTAAATAAAAATTCAGTTCCTCGGTCTCACTAGCCACATTTCAAGTGTTCCAAAGACGCATGTAGCCAGTGGCCATCTGTCGGGCACCAATGCCCTAGAAAATCCTCTCTGCAAAGCACAATGAAGTAGCAGGAAGGAGATGAAGAAGAAGCCCTTCCAGTCACCCTGTCCAGGAGCAACAGTGGACTTTGTGGGTTAATGGTAACGTTCTTCGGTGGATAAGTGAGGAAGCCATTGCAGTGGAACTAAAGTGTGACCTATAGGGGAACTCATGAGGAATGAGGGACCTACCCAGGCTCCCTCGAGGGCTAGAGGAGATGGTCTGATGGTAGAGGCGAGAACCTGGCCTGACCCAGGAGCTGGTGAGAAGGAGGTTCAACCTGTTCTCAGATTTAACTCATTTCCGCAACTGCCTTGCTCAGCTACAGAAGCCACTACAAGAGCATGCAGGGCTGCCAAAATCTTCCTTCAGCGCAGCACGGGGGTAGCATCTTTTGTTATTTCGTAGTCTGGGTCCCACCACCAAATGTGAGTAGCACTCAACACTCACCTGCCCCATTCCCAACTTTCCTTCTTTAGCCAAACTCATTTTACCAACTTCTGGTTATAGATGTGGTAGTATCCAGTACACATAGACTATATATTGAGCCCATCAAATAGTGGAGCGCTGTGCTATTGTTTTATTTCTAACTTGATTAAAACAACCCAACACCTATTTTTAAAAAACAATAGCAACAACCGTGCCAGAATGCCAAAGCCACATGGTCTCGTAACAGTCACCACATAGGCTCTTAGCCAACGTCTGAATCAGAACCTGTATAAGTGTGCAGTTTCTATGTTCTGATTACAGGCTCAGCCTGAAAGAGAGATGTCTGAGCTTGCTGAAGTTCAGTACTCTTCTGGTGCAACCACACTGTGTGGTATGGTCTAGGTCAAAGGGTGTCAGGACCTTCAGAAAGGGGAACGGGACCGTATTGTCTTCCGAGGGCTGCCTTAGCAAAGAACAACAGACTGGGTAACTTAAAAGAGCAGAAAATTCTCTCACAGTTTCAGAGGACAGAAGTCTGAGATCAAGGTACCAGCAGAGCCCTTCTCTCTCTATAGGCTCTCAAGAAGATCCTTCCTTGCCTCTTCCAGCTTCTGGTGACCCCAGGCATCCCTTGTATTTGTTATTGCTGTTATAAGATGCCACCGAGTCGGTTCCTACTCATAGCGACCCCGTGTACAACAGAAGGAAACACTGCCCGGTCCTGCACCATCCTCACAATTGTTGCCATATATGAGCCCATTGTTGCAGCCCCCGTGTCAGTTCATCTTGTTGAGGGTCTTCTTCTTCTTCACTGACCCTCTATTCTACCAAGCATGATGTCCTTCTCCAGGGACTGGTCCCTCCTGATAACATGTCCAAAGTCCGTGAGACGATGTCTCGCCCTTCTGGCTTCTAAGGAGCCCTCTGGCTGCATCTTGCCTTGTGGCTGCAGAACTCCCATCTCTGCCTCTGTCTTCACATGCCTGTCTTCCCTCTGTGTCTCTTCGCTTTTTATAAACACCAGCCGTCTTGAATCAGGACCCACCCCGTGTTAACTAATGACATCTGCAAAGATGCTATTTTCCAAATAAGGTCACATTCACAGGTACCAGGGGTTAGGGCTTCAACGTATCTTTTTAGGGGACACAATTCAACCCATAACAGAGATACAGGGTTTTTTGGGTTTTTTTTTTTTTTTTTTTTGGTTCCACACGTGATTCTGAGTCCCAATCTACCGAATCCCGTTCTGCCTTTTAAGAGCCAAGGCTTCAGAGTTAGAGAAACTTGTATCATCTCTCGTCTCTGTGACCTTCTAGTTCAATGTCCAAATCAAGTAACTGAAATTCTATAACCTTACTTTCATCTGAAATACGTGAATAACACTACCTTGCCAGATTACTGCAGTGATCATAA